CAACCTGCTTTAAAAATTTTCTTAAAGCAGATAAATATGATAAAGAAGTTATATCTCAAATTTGGCAGTGGTTGCTACACAGCAAGGGTATTAAATGGGGATTAGAAGTCACTTGATTGTAAAATTTTACTATTACTATTACTATGTTTTAAAGCTCCCTATTGATCTGCGTGACATGTCCTGTGACTGTTATTTTTCTTGTTTATAATAATAACCATGGATGAAAATACAAAAATCGAAACTTTCTTGGATTCTTTTATAAGTAACGGCAATGCTACTCAAGAAGAAGCAGATAAAGTACTTAAAATATTTAATCAACATTGGATTCGCAGATTAAAGGATTGTAAGGTGTTTGACATAAAATCTTTAGAAGAAAAAGGCATTCCTGCATTGGTGATCATGAAAATAGAAGAAATGTGACTTTTAAAAAGTATTGATTTTTTTTCTTTAGTTTCACATATCTTATACATTATTATTAATCATGTATGCATTCATTTATTTTCTCTTTTTATTTATATATATATATATATAAAAGAATCTGGTAAGTGAAACATCATATGAGAGAATGTTTGATACTCAATATAAGGAAAGTCATTTTGATAAGAAGTTAACATATATCATTTATTTCTTTTAATTTATTGTATTGTTTGCATGATGAAGTAGTTGGAGTAGTTGGAAGTAATGTAACATTAATTCTCTGTTTTTTGATCACTATAAGATTTCTTCTGTCATTGTTCCATTTTTAATCCTTTTTGTGATTTTGACAACATTTGCTTTTTAATTTATTTTTTGCTTTATCAATAACTTATTGGTTTTTTTTTTTTAAAAAAAAACAACTATTGCCTCCTATCTATTTTACTTAATAAGGCAAGTTTCAAATTTTCCATTCTCTAAACTTAGTTATTTACTTACTCTTGTTATATTATTCCTGCATTAGGCTCAGTGTCTCCCTCTGATCCAGGCTGCATACAGAGATTAAGGGAACAGTTTGGTTATACCCAAGATTAGGTAAATCATTCCATCTAAACTATCTCTCATAGGAGGAATTGGTGGCACAACTTATCGGGAGGAAGCATTTACAAACTTTGAAGGTGTTGATGTGAATAGTAACTTGACTTGCAAGAGGCTGGCAACTGTAACAAAGTTACACAGTCACCTTCAGAATGCAAGATTTTTGCTTGTGTGCTCACCCCCAATGTCTGGAAAGACATCACTTGCACAACTCTATGAGAACTATTTACTCAATACACATAATGAACTATGTATATTTTGGATGTCACTTGTATGATTGAGGAGGGAGGGATCAGGCTGGGATTTTGCACAGCAATTCAAGGATTATATGGGAGGCTTGTCATGAGATACCTTTGTCTGTGAGTGTGACAAAGTACAAACAATACTGATCATAGATGAAATTCAGGTGTTATACAAACCAGAAGGTGCATCAGCCTGTCTATTTGGTGGTGACAAGTTTTGGGACACTGTCAAGAGAGTTCTACAGGGTGGTGGTCTCCACATTGTTGCTTTTGCATCCTATGGATATTGGGGAGCATATAGTGGACCAGGCCATCTTAAAACTATATCTCCTTTTGACTTAGATGAAATTAATACTTGGAATTTTGAAGATGTTCAGTATTCTGAACAAGAGTATGCAAATTTCTTTGATTTTTTTGTCACTCCAATCTGAAACTGCTTCCTGAAGGAGATGTCCCTTGACTTGCCAACTATGTGAAAGAAGAAACCAAGTGCCATCCTGGGCTTGTTTCTTTTGTCCTGGATGATATTGTTTTACAATTTCAACAGCAGCTAAAGCAGGGTGTGGAACCATTGACATTTGAGAAAATATTCAAATTTTTTCAAACAGATGATTGCTATCAAGGTGTTAAGGTGAGCAATGATTGAAAATTAATAGTTTGTGATTATAGAGATCTTAACTCCATTATTATTGTAGTGAACACATGCATGTCAAGAAGTCATAGTGACATCTGAAGAAGAATGACAACTTATTGACAAAGTCTTGATCCAACCTGGTGGTATTGACATTCACAGTGCAGTTGCAGACCATCTGATCAAAACAAATGTTCTTTCAGACTTCCATCAAGAATATTATTTGAGAAACAGGAAACTTGACTTCACATCACCACTAGTCCATGTAGCTTATCTTCAGGAACATCTTGGATCTAGAACCCATGTACACACTTTACCATATCCTTTTGAAGATTTTATCAAGAAGGTGTTTGAATTAATGAGCCCAGAGACTTTCAAGAAAACCCTTTGTGTGGGTAATGATGGTCAACTGCTGGAGAGGGCATGGCAAATGGAGTTTTACCATGCAGCAAGACAACTGCTTCCAAAAAATGTACATATCTCTCCAGATGTTGGTGCTGTTTTTGCTTCAGAGGGCTGGGTGGACTTTTATGTTGATGGTAAACATGATTGGATGATAGAGCTAGTTTGAGATGGTGAAGATCTGGAAAATCATCAAAGGAAGATGAAGGATGATGGGCTATATGGTTCAATTCTGAAATGTGTTAAGCGTCATGCAATTGTGGATATTAGAAGTGGTATAGGTAGACCCCACAACCTGAAATCAGGTGTCATTTATGTTGTATGTTCACAGGACTTTTCCAGTGTGGAAATATGTATTAATAGTATCTGGGACAAGGTTTGGTTGTGTGGAAGTAGAGATTTGTACACTGAGTTGGGTATCTCAGTGACATCTTATTGACAACTGAAAGAAATGTTAAATAATTCAACCTCTTTAGTTTCTAGTCCAAAGCACAATATTTTTACTAAGGCATCAAGTTTATGCACTCGCTGCTTAATGACATAAAAATGAAAATGTTCATAAAGTAATTGCATCCAACCACTGGTGGAACTATGCAAATGGCTAATTTCTTTAATAAAGTTATCTTTACATCCATTAGTATTAGGTACAAAAAAAAATTTTTTTTTCAAAAATTGTTAGAAATATTGGTTAGCCTCCTCTTAAATACAGACTTGATTTGACAGCTCAATAAGCTGGAGAATAAGAAGCAAATTTAGTTATCTGACTTCTTGATAAATTTCATAAGTGATTTTTTCTTTATCTAGACATTCCCAAAGAACTTGGTATTATTCATAAGGTGCAATTTTTTCTCCTTGCTCTTTCCTTAAAATACTTCTAATAATGCTGTAATTCTTGGGTTCCATAGTAGACCTAATGTAAATGAGTTCATATTAACTATTTTATATAGAGGTGATTCTATATATCACCTGATATTAAGAGGATAACAAATAGGATATTATAAAACTGGTAATTATAATCACATTTCAAATGACTAAATTTTGATCCCTGAAATACTGGAAATACCAATGTTCACTTTGTCTGGTTTTGTTGCAGTATGCCCCAAATATAAAAAGAAATATTGATTACTTACTTTTAACATATTTAACTTAATATTACATAAAGCAGATATTGAAATAGTTGGACAGTTTTGTAGAAATGGGTATTTGGTTAAGAGTTCTAAATTCTTATTTCTGAATTTTTTTCAATCAATCTATAAGAAAAATATTTAAATATACAAGTAAATATATAATATATAACATTCCTAAATATTATTTTACCTTGCTAAATATTAAAATAATTGGTTTTTTCATAGTTTTTAATTTCTCAATAATAAATTGTTCACTATAATACTGTATTCAGTTATTTTTAATGTATGAATCACTAATATCATTATAAAATTATAATATAATCATATCACCATACTATATATAATTACCACAATCAACTTCATCTATTGTATTCCATGAAGAATTAATCAATTCACAATTATATCTTTGTTTATATTTGGTTAATGGTGATGTTTATGTTGATCTTGTTGTCAATATTACACCTGGGAGTATCTAAAAAAATCTAAATATAATTTATATAATATATCATCAAACATCAATTATCACTATGATAATATTTACATTATCACCAATTATCAAAGCAGATTTTCCTGAATTGGCTGTTCCTATTATTGTAACTTTAAGTATATGAGGTTGTTTGATTTTTTGTTGAATTGTTGGCAATTTATCTTTAATATCTAGTTATTTATTGTTGTTATTATCATCATTATTATAAACAAATGATATCTTATTCAGTTTAATTAATGAATTAAAGAGTAAATATATACCAGTAAAATTATTATTAATAAATATATGATTTTATTTTTATTGATTTTTTGTTTGTCTTCACTTTTTTTTACTTTTTCTTCCCAATTTTTCATAATTTGATTCTTTTTTTCTTTTTCTATTAATTTATCAAATTTATTGCTTCCCTTTATTGAATTTGGCAATCTCATTATTAATCTTGTAGGTATTTCTTGCCATTCCTTTTGCATTTGACATTGAGTAAAAAATAATTTTTTTTTATTTCTGATTAAAAAATCATTTTTTTTTCAATGATCATATCAGATAAAAATGTCAAAACTAAATAATGCCCAAGCAACAACTATAATCAGGTGACTTTAAACAATAATTTAATAACATGTATGTTATTTGTTTGTTTGTTAATTCTTCAAATTGTATCTAAACAATATAGACAAGAAATAGATATTCCCAATTTGACATCTTATTTAGCTTCAAGAATTCCTGAAATTAAGTTACCAATAGAAACCCAACAATTCAAATTTGGTCAAAGCAACCCCACATATCTCCTAATTGATGCAAAGTAAGATTATATGATATTATATATGTGTGTGTGTGCTTATAACAAGTGATTTTTTTTTTGTAACAAATAGTATATATTAATAATGAATATGAAATATTTAGTCAAAAACGATATGTACTACGAAAAAAACCACCAGGAAAACTATTATCAACTACTGCACATGCTGTTGAACGCGAGTTTCATATTCTTGATGCTTTAGGAAAGTATACCGATGTACCAGTGCCTAAGGTTTATCTTCTTTGCAAAGATAATGAAATAATTGGGACACCATTCTATGTAATAATATTTTTTTATATTCGATAAATTAATTTAATAAATTGCTTATACATGTATATTAATAATTGATAGGTAATGGAATTTTTAAATGGTAAGATTTTTGAGGATGTAAGACTTTTATCACTTTCTCCAAATGAAAGAAAGAACTGGTAAAATTTTTTTTTGTTTATTTTATCATTACTATTTATAATTCAAAAAACTTCAAATATTTATTTTTTTATTTATAGTTGGTTTTCTTTGGTCAACACACTTGCTAAATTACATTCAGTTGATTATAAAGCAATAGGACTAGATGATTATGGAAAGTCATCTGAATTTATTCTAGACAAGTTCGTTCACTACTCAAAGTATCAAAAGCTCAAGCTGCTGTGGTAGATGAAGATGGAAATGAAGTGGGTGCTCTTCCAGGACTTGATGAAATGATCAAGTGGTTTAAAAATAATGAAATTCCTGATGAAGCAACAATTTTACATGGTGACTTTAAGGCACAAATTATCAAATAAGCAAATAAATATATTATTTAATCATCATATTAACATTTTTCTTTTTATTTTTATTTTTTAAGATGGATAATATTGTAATTTTACAAAACTATATCTTATATGTATATATATATATATTATATATGAATTTGATTCACTTGATTTTATATGATATAGGTTTTTCATCCAACAGAATCACATGTTATTGGAATATTAGATTGGGAACTTTCCACAATTGGTCACCCATTATCAGACTTAGCAAATTTATTGATGCAGTTTTATGTATCTGAAAATGCTGTAAAACCTTTAATTGGATTAAAGGATGCACCTAATTTACTTATCCCTTCAGCAGATGAATTAATATATGAATATTGTATTAAAACAAAAAGAAAATTTCCAATACCAAACTTTGAGTATGCCATAGTGTTTTCATTTTTTAGAGTAAGTTAGGTTTTATTTTTCTAATATTTACATATTATATTTATATTCTAAATTTATTTATTTTCAAAGTTGGCAGTAATCACACAAGGTATTGCTGCATGTATTGCACATAAACAAGCTAGTTCTAGTGAAGCACAAAATTATGCTAGAATGTTTAAACCTATAAGTTTAATAGCATTGGAAATTATTGAAAAAAATAACTTATTAAAAAGCAAATTATAAAATCATAATTAATATACACATATTAAAATTTATTTTTTCAAAAGAAATAAATTATTAATTATATACAAATTTAATATAGTGTACATCTAAATCTAATCCCATTTTTGAGAATTTGGACTATACATGTTGTCAAAATCAATTTGGATTTGACTCAATTCCAAAATTTCAACTTTTGATTGTGACTGACAATTATTTATTAATTACATCAAAAAGCTTGCCTGATTTAGTCAAGTGATCAATCTATTTCTACCATATTTTTTTTTTTTTTTTTAAATTCAAATGAGCAAAAATAATTACATATATTAATTGATACTTGAAAATTTTTTTATATCTGACCCAGGTACCTGACCTGATCTGACCCAACCCGTTTGGAACACTAGGCTTTGAAATCTAACCAAAATGGAACATCTTGGAATTTATTTATTATTATTATTATTACAGTCAGGTATTAATCTCTTTTCATGACGTCAATCATTACAGGGCATTATCCCCGGCTGAATTTAGCCAATCAAAATTTCTTCTAGAATTTTTCATAACGTCGATCATTACAGAATTTAGTATTTCCATATCGAGTAAAATACCTGACTTTAACTTGAATTATAAAATAAATATCAAGATTTAAAAATATATAAACAGTATAAGTAACATGTTAATATATATTTTAATTTGAAAACAGGGTTTAAATTTAAATATGGATTCCTATTTTGTACTTGATAAAAATATATTAATAACATCTAAACTCGATAGGTCGGACATTTATTTATATTATAAAGTACATTAAACAATTGATTGCTGCGTATGACTTACCGAGTTTAGATGTGGTATATATATATTTTATGGTGATACAGCAAACGCCCTTTTTTATTAAATCATGTATAAATGAAAAAAAAAGGTAATTTTCCGTTTTCGCTCATT